CTCTCTTGAATAACTTATTAATTGTAATATGAATATCCCACTGATTGTGATCTTACTGGTTATCGAAGCACATTCTTCTGTACCTGGGAAACAGGACAACACAATTATCCTAAATTGTTTTAGTGGCCACAGATAATGCATTCCAGTTGACTCAGTGGTCCCAAGAGCAGGACAATTACTCTAAATTGCCTCGATGGCTCTAGATAATGAGTTCCTGGCAATCCAGTGGTCTCAAGACCCGAGGGCTCTAGATAATGTATTTCTGTCAATTCAGTGACCCCGAGACCCCAAACTATAATTAACATGCTTAATTCTGCTTCTGTAAACTGCTTTTTGCAAACCAGGTTCCTCATTCCAAACCTTGAGATGTAATCAATACCTTTGTGATCTTTGCCTATATAAGTCTGGTTTTGCCACCATCTTATCACTATGAGAATTGGGGAATGAAAGAGCGAGGGCTACGCCCTCCATCTTACGCCAGATCCTCCATATTTAGGCATCAGCCATCAGCCATGTGCTCGGCAAGGATCTTCTTCCCGGAAGCCCAAGCTTCTGCTCTTTAAACTAACCAATGACAATCAAGGGACGTGTGTGCCATAGACACAACCACATCCTGTGTAACAAGAACCCGACTTGCACCTGGCCAATCGGCAGGGCCCACAGTCATCTCTCCTCCCCTTACTCCAACCAACCTATTAAACGCCTCTTCCCCCCAGGCTAGCTCTCTCATCTCGCCATTGAGTCAGTAAAGAGGCTGGGAACCAAACCCAGGTTTGAATAAAGACTCTTTGCTTTTGCATCGGACTTGGCTGGCTCCCTGCTGGTGGTCTTTTGGGGATCTTGAAATCTGGGCATAACAGGGAATGGCCCCTCACAGTCCCGGATTGCAATAAATGTGATTCTTTAATTCGACTTCTTGAGGCGTCCTTCTGTGATTCACAGGGTACATTATAACACAACCTCTCCAAAAATATTATAGATTAAAGAAAGAACATATGCAGATTCTCCCCACCACCCCCACATTAAACCAAATTCCAAGTTCATTCTACATTTTGTGATATATATAAAAAAGCAGCTGTGGTAACATGTTCAGTTGTTGTTAACAAAGTCAGTTGTAAAATATTGCAAATCCAAATGATAAGATTATTTTGTGTTTTTTAATTGACCAAAATGAATGTGAAATAATATAACTAAAATTGGGATTTATATATGTTATATAGTAATATTACTTTG